GGGGGGGGGGGGGGGGGGGCAAGAGAGTGACAGTTGAACGGGTAGCAGAGGAAGGATGGAGAGCTGTTTTTTTCTCTATCAGGCTGAAGTGTTTCCGGCAAGCACCAGCAGCCCAGACATTGTCTCATCACGAGGAGGTCTGACAAACCAAACACAGGAATTGCTGCAACGTGAGAGCAGCGGGGGGCATCTCTGCTCGTTGAATGAAAGCCGTGGCAGAGAGACTGAGATCTGCAAGAAAATTGGCCTGAAACATCACTTTGTGATTCTCCTTGAAAGTGCACTCCAGTTGTCGTGGTGTGGAGTGCAGCGTAGCCGCGCTGTATGGCATCACTGCAGGTGGTGATTCCTTCATCTGCTATTTGTGTTCCTCAAATCCAAGTGCACTGTGGGAGTATTTCTATAGCTAAAGAGTTTTACCGCTGTATCATGTGGGTGGATGGGATGGAGGGCTGGGCGATAATTCAAAATGATAATTTATCGTCCTTTAGTGGATTCATACTGTGATGAAATCATATGTGGAGATATCGTGATGCACGATGACATCGTCTAAATTGAAAACAAGCACATACTAACTCCAATTTCTCAGAAGATCTGAATTGATGAGAATTTCTGCTTCTCGGAATACCCCAGTGTAGTTAAATCGAGCTTCTTTCCTCTTTTATTTCACTCCACAAACTGTGTGTTTTATACTCAAAGGAAGCTTTGATTTGTAAAGTTAAAATGCACCATGTTGGATTTTGCTCCGCCAGTCGTCTTTGAAATTTAGATGTATTTTCTTTTCATCACACTGCATGTAGCGCTGTATTTTTCTCTTAGTTTAAGTCACAGTGTTTTCATGATTGATGGTTACGATAATGACGAGCTGTAAAAGTGACCAAAGCAAATCAGTGTGTTATCAAGGAATCTCCAAAAGGCTGCATTAAAAGCAAGCATCATCATATTGGATGTAGATTTAAAAAAAATAGAAAATCTGTAAATGATTTCTAGATTGCCTAATTTATTCCAATCAGTTTTCAAGTCCAAACTTTGAAGCTATTTAAAAAAATCGATCATGTTGTTAATTACCGTAGCTTGAAGGGCAAAATCCACACATCTGTGTTCCAACATCTATCTTCAGCTGAGTCACAGAAACCAAACGGGTGTTTTACAAACTCGTGCTTTCATTAGTGAAAGAGGGAACTCGTGCTTACTGTAACTCTGGAGGATGTGGTTCCAGTGCTGGAGGTATCCTGATGCTGTGACCTCCAACCGTCTTGTGCTTCAAGAATCCTTAGCAGCTGCGAGGAGACACCCCTCAGCACTAAGGTTATCTGAGATGAATTCTCCCCCCCACCCCCCCTGTGGGAAAATCCCCCCACTCCACCGGCTTCGCAGCGGGGGCCCGTGTCCCAGCGCTCAGGCTGACAAAATAGCACGCCACTCTTCCCCGTTTTAAAGCGCATCCATTTTTAATCCTCCTCCTTTGAGTACACACACAAACAGGTACACTCACTCTCTCTCTCTCTTCGGCTGACTCTTCTGGAGTTTTACTTTTGATGTTTTATCCCGTTTCTCACACAGCATCATCACGTGTGTGTGTGTGTGTGTGTGTGTGTGTGTTTTTTCTGTACGTATCCAATGCTTGGTGAAGCAATATTTTTAACTCACTGTGGGGGGGGATTGCATTATGTTTTGTTCTACTCTGTATCCCGGTGCCTCTGAAGAAGCTCACGTTGCATCTTCAGGAAGTACAATGCTGCTCCGGTAGTGTACCCATGAAAACGTGACAATTCTCAACTTGTGGAGTTATGAGTGGCGTCTTTTTTTCTATGATTTCTATGCAGACTTATGGACGCTTATACGCAGAGGACATCTAAATATGTGCATCTTGTCTCTGTGTGACTTTGACTGAGTTATGACTTTGTGAAGGAGTGCAATAGGGCCGCACAAATAATCAAATATGAATGGCGATCATGATTTTGGCTTATCACAGTGTCATGAACATGATCGACTGCGATATTGGCTTTCGAAATGCGAGCTGCGCACATAGAAAGCAAAAAAAAAGTCAAATCAAGCGCTTCCTAAACTAACAGCCAGCCACCAGAGAGCGATTCATTCTTTATTTTGCTTCACTTCTGGGAGAGACTTTCAAAATTTCCCGAATGTTACAGCTGCAGAGTAGAGGAGCAGACGGGCAAAACGAAAATACACTGAATTCAGGAGGAGGAGAACCTTATTTCGAGTCTTATTTTAATGCAAAGATGTGTACATCAGCATGAATGACATGGCAGTGAAAGCAGTGGCCTTTTTCATCAAAACGTGAAAGTGCAATCAAAAGATTCTGTCCCTACAATCAATCACTACAGATGAAAATAATCGTGATCAAGTGAGCAAGTCTTTGCCTCACCTTCCTCCCTGCTATAGAGTGTGAGTCATCTTCACAACGTAAGCAGACTGTGTGTCTGCTGTAGGGGGATGAAGATGCCGAGGTCAGCCTCTCATCTGTTCGTAGCCCTTCGTCCTTTTGAAAACACTCTTGGCATTCAGAGGGGATTAAGCTCTTCTTTTTCGATAGTTCTGGATTTGGATTCCTTCTGTGCGTCTGGAACGCAACTTTAAGTTCGAGGTCAGCCTCCCACTGTGGAGAGCATTTAAGCAACTTGGAAGATCAAGAGAACGCCTGCTTCATCTCCTGATCAAAGGGAGCTTAGCCCCAGATTCATCCTCATCAAGAAGCAGAAAAACATTAGATCAAATTTACATCAAGGACTAACAACTGAATAATTCAACCCAACGGGTTTTTTTGTGGGTTTTGGGGCTGTTTCTAAGTGAACTTTGTCCTTTTGCACGCTGGCAATTGTTAAAAGAGAGCATGTTTTATTCAGCCGTTTCCTCAGATCCATTATTATTCAATTAAATATTAGCCTTATTACCCATTGAAACCAGTTCATTCTTTTCTACCAGACGTGATTTCCATCAGATCTTGTGTTTGCGTGCATGTTCTTGCGTTTGCGTGCATGCCGGCGTGCGTGTGTGTGTGTTTGGGCAAGAGATGTGTGATAAAACGGGCTCATGAAACCGCGTTGTTGAAGTCAATACAGTCATGAGAAACGGTCGCACTCTCCTTGAGTCGAGCCCGTTTGAAGCTGTCACCCAGCTACTGCTCAAAGGGCACTGTTTGAATGCTTGTTAGCCATCTTCGGGTTGTGTGTGTGTGTGTGTGTGTGTGTGTGTGTGTGTGTGTGTGTGGGATCCCCTCCCTCTATCCCACTGACTTCAGAGCTGCTTTGAAGTTGTTCCTCAGAGGAGAGGTGAAGGTGAGGAGAGGGGGGGGGGGAGGAAAAACAGTGAAAATGTCTATGCCTGCATTCACTCTGCCTCTCTCACCCTCTCTCTCCCCCCGACGACACTTTGTCATGCAGAAAACACCATGCAGCCTATGACATCACTCTCAAATTATTAGGGGGGTGGTAGAGCCAGGGGAGCGCTGTGTTAGGAATTTACAGCATGTTGGGGTGCTCATGTAGCTGCTCTCGGTCAGCTCATGAATAATGGAGCAGATCAGTGTCGAGTTCCATCAGGTGATCCCGGTGTACTTTTCAGGAGTCTGTTTATGTTTATGTGTGTGTGTGTGTGTGTGTGTGTGTGTGTGTGTGTGGGTGTGTGTGTGAGGGTGAGAAGAATGGAGAGAGGCGCAATGAGAGCAGCTGCTGCGGCCAACACACCCTCAACACAAAACCATCTGCCGTCCCGACTCCAGAGAACTAACACACACATCCCACCCTATTATCTCGTCAGCAAACACACACCATCTACGCATCCATCTGCAGCTTTTAACACTCACACACATCTTTCCATTTCGATGACACAATGTGCTTATTTTAATATATGGGCTCAGGAGAACTGCACTTGGAGGCAAACCTTCAGGTGTTTGTTGTGCAGGTATAGATAGGTAGTGTAGATGAAGGGAAACAGTGAGTGGGAGAAATGATCCTCTGAGCAGCCCATCCAGAGCTGCCATAATCCTGAGTGGGTGAGGTGGTGGGGAGGTATCGGGCCCAGATGAGATGATGACTTAGTGAGGAAATGAGACGGAGCCTCAGTAACGGCTTGATGGCTGAATTACTAACCCCCCTCTCCCTGCCTCTCACCTATTAAAAACAGTATTTACAAGGGTAAACTAATATAATCCCCCCCACTAGCACCAGCTCCCCCATTTATGTGGTCTATTTAAACCCATGTGAATGTTGAATCAGAATACCATTCATTTGGATCACGTACAGTCTTCCTGAACAAACAGCGTGTTAATTGCTCTGGGTAAACAGTTGTCGGTGGGAGCGTGTAATGAGTGACAATGGTTCAGCGTGAGTGACACCAGCAGACAGCAGCAGATGACAAAATGTCATCAGTGCTGAGCCGCGCCCGTGGCACAACTCCATTTATTTACCCCCGAGAGATTGTGATGGGGGGGGGGGGGGGGGAGAAGGACCAAGGCCGCAGAGGAATAAAAAGCAGGAAAAAAAGGTGGCGCTGCCAGCAAAAAGTGTGCTGAAAAGATGAATGCGGGCTCTGACCTTTTCCATCTTCTCTTTGCCGAGCACGCTGGGAATTCATATCAGCCCGGCCTGCTGCAGTCGCCGCACTGCCTCCCCCTTTTCAGAGCGAGCCCGGACCTAAAATACCAGTTTGCTCCCTTTATCCTCGGCTCAGATGCGGCTGATGCGTCTAGCGGCTTGAACTCGGCGTTACATATCCGTCCACGTTAGTGTCTTTGTCAGAACGGTGTGTGTGTTCAACTCACTCCCCGCTGTCAGGGAGAGTCATGCAGCTGTTATGGGGGAGGGGGTGAATCAATCATGCTCTACTGCTATGATGATGTCAAATCATGTGGATGTTGGAGTTGACGGATGTCTCTCTGTCTCAGTGTACGTATGCCTGTGTGTCTGATAGAATGGTCCTCCTCAGTTAGATGATTGGGAGCGTTATGACCCAACGGCTGCTGGTAAATAATAAATAACCCGTTTAACAGAAAGACCAGCCCACTTCTCCGGCAGCTTGGGTTTTACTTTACACTTTGATCATCTCGTAACGTGGATCGCTGGCCACTTAACACCACCTGGACGCAGATTTCGAGCAATTATGCCCTCAAGGGACGAGTTAGGAGTAAAAAAAAGTTATTTGCCGAAGTATGAGGAATAAGACACATATATCATGCAACTCTCTCCTGCAGCACAGTGTAAAAGTGACATTTTAGAGCAAATTATCACATTATTAAACACGAGAATTCCCTCTACATCCTTTACTGCATCCTTAACATCTTCATTAATTAACAAGTGAAATGAACCCTAATCTAATATTTGTAATAGTGTGATACAGTGTATGATATTTACTGAATATAAGGATGAAATGATATGAAATTGAGTGAAATGATAGCAAAAAGAATACTTAACTGGAGCAGGTAATAAATTCTGCTGCTGATTGACAAGATGCATCTGAAATGTAGTACGTCAATGACAATGCAGACAATGAAGACACATAGAAAGTGATTGCAAACAAATGCAGCTATTTTAGGGCTGGGCAATATGGAAAAAATATCTAATATCACAACAATATTATCAGGTCAAAACTTTCATTTGTCCTTTATGTTTTGTGACCAAATGTCTGCAAAACTAATGACGTTACCATCAGCCTCATCTGTGAGTTGTGCAAAGGGCTAATAGGCTAAAGTTAGCGTGCTAATGCGCTAAACTAGGATGATAAACATTATACCTGCTTGACGTTAGCTACTTTGTCAGCATTGTCATCAAAAACATGTTAGCATGTAGCTCCATGCACTACTGCGCCAAAGTAAGAAGTACAGTAAGTCCAAACATCACCTTTAGCAGTTTGATGAATACAGACCTTTCACTTTGATAAATTGGTATTGTGAATGTGTGGTTATTAGTAAAGGAAAACAACAGCAGCAAAAATAAAATGGAGAAGACCTGTAGTTTTTCCAAAAGCACCAGTCATTTCCTTTAAATAACGAGGCGTCCCGCTGTTAGTGGAGACTCGTAGAGCACGCCAACTGATTTTACTACCAACACTCTTATTGGCAGCTGGCACAAGTTAAATCGGGAAAAAACAAATCACTCGCGATAGATACACACGAAGAAGGACAAAAATATCAGGAGAACAACCCTTCTTTGTGAAATCGCATCCATAACATGTACTCTGAGTGTGTGAAGTGAGCCTAACATGGCAGCCAGTGAGTATCTATGGTAACTACAATCTTCTGAGAGACAGTCTACAGGTATATGGACATGGATAGTGGATGGTGAATTATTTAGCTCTATCAGACAGTGTCTGCCAGACGCAGCCCCCAGACTGTGAATTCAAACCTGATATTGGACTGCGAGGAGGACGAGCTATATAAGGTGACAGCCCCCCAGCGACAGACCCTCTCAGTGGAAAATCCACAACAAACAGATCGCTGTCAAGCTAAATATCCTTCCTATACCGTAGGTTTTTTTTAGTGTAATTTGTAGCCAGTTTCACTCAGAATACGGCATTGTGCAGTCTGGTTATTTGAAGATAACGATGTCAGATGCGTTGTGGGTATTCTGCAGACATGTCGAAGCGTCTATTCCGCCGAGAGGCGAAGTAACACATTACTGCCGTCAGCAGAGGAAATCCTCTTAACATCTCATACGATCACATCCTTTTCCAAACCTCTGTCACCACTTTGACGAAGCAACCGCAAGCAATTACTCTGACTAATTGTATCCAGTTTATGGAATGAAAGCATTGGCAGCATGAGAAGCCAGTTCATCAACTGTGGAAGGATCAGCAAGATTCTGTCCAGAAAACCATTCACTACATGTCAGTGTTAGTATTGTTTGTTATACAAAGAAATATATGCCAGCAAATACAAAGTACTACCTACTGGTGTCTTTACAGGTAAAGATACATAAAAACCCGATGATTAGCTTATAAAATGCAATGTATTAGCAAAGATTTAATCAGTTGCTCCTTACCTTTTTAGAAGAGTGTAGTTGTGGTCCCTTGTCCTGATTCAGATGAGTTGTTAGCAGTTCCACCAGACATGTTTTCTCTAAACCTCTCACATTTTTTTCATTTGAGTAACCGCTCAAGGCCCGACATGGTCAAATGATTCAATATTTCACAATAAAAGCAAAGATTAGATAAAACATCACAAACGTACCACACCTTCTGGAGGTATTGAGAAATCATGAAATAATTACATTTTGTCAATTAATCCATTCTCCCTTCCATCCCCGGTTACTTCCTCCCCACAGTATTTATAGTCATCTTTTAGGGAGCTATGGTTGAAGTTTTTACTGCAGCATTTATAGTAAATTGTTCATTTTATAATTGTACTACTCAATCTTTGCTACGATATCTCGGTAATTGGACTATTGGACTAGAGTTCACCAGCAGTTGGATGATGGATGGTGTTAACTGTAAATTGCAGTCGTGAGTCAAAAGTTATATTGCATTAAATTCTTAAATGTGTTGAAGGAATATTAAGGGGGTTGTATGTATGAGATTGTACATTGTGGTCATCTGTAATACACAACTCATTTGAATTCATCTACCACACCTGCATAACTAGTTTACAACATGCAGGCTTATTTTCCTCTCTGTCATACACTAATGCTTCTTTTTTTTGTACCATGTTACTATCAAAGCTTCCCATCCCTGATTTAGTGAGCAATTTAAACTTCATGCAATCAGTAGAATTTGCACTTTGGTCATAAGTGAAATGAAGCCGTTTCCAGCTCCTTATGCTAATTAGGCTGATTAAACGGGATGCAGTCATTTTCCAGTTGTGCCTGCAAATACAGCAGAAACCCTTTCTGTGTTGTTTAAGTAGAACACTTGAAAAAAGTGCAGCTTTATCCACACGCATGCGAACATTAGACTCGAGAGAATACGCTGCAAAAAGAACAGTCATAATGAGAACGCCAACGAGAGACAATTAAACAAAGAGCCTCCAGATCAGATGCAGGAGAGGGATGAAAACACACCGACGGTGAAACGGAGCCGTCCTGGGAGCTCAGCGAGGCCAAACACCGGCGGCGCGCTGCAGCAATTCACACAGCAGAGACCGGCGGAACGTTTATGGACCCTGGATGCCAATTTCCTATCAAGGAGAATGTTTGGGCTTCATTGCTCTCCGTGGACCTTTACTGGAAGAGTTAGAAATGAGTATGTGGTGGGAGGCGGGCACAGAGCGGTGAGGTAAGAGGACATTGAGGCCCTGCGCTCCTCCCAGGCCGCCGCTCCGCCCTTGTTAAGTTATTCTTGGCCGGCAAGGGCTTCAGCGAGAAGATGGAGGTAAAGAGGGACATTTTACTATTGCTATTGTGCTCGAGTCGGAGCATTTGTCCCTGGCAGCGCCTCTATTTACCACGGGTACCCACTTATATTAACCAGTCTGATAAAAGAGACTCACCTTAAGAGCCTTTCTATCTCGGAAGGCTCACAGTAGCCATTAAAGAGCTTTTGTTGACTCACATTTTGAAGGGGTATTATGCTTTCTTAGCAATGGGAACTTACCGGCTTTATCGCCCTCTTACATAAGGAGTGTAGACCTTCTAGTCCTTTGATACGCTGCAGTGCTGTTGTCGCTGGATAATTGTTTTGTTGCGAGGAGAATCTCATCTCCTTAGAAGACACAAGGTTCAAGGATTCTCGAGCAAGATCAGATAGAAACATTAAATGTGTCTCTCAGAGAGGCGCACGTTTCAGGCTATTAATAATGTCTCTGCTAGTTAGATGGATCTTTATCGGTTTTGTGTCAACAACAATCTATCGAACCTGCAGAAAGCGTCGGGTGAAAGTGAGTGTCAGCCGAAGTTCTTTTCATACATGAAATTGGCTCGACCAGCTTGAAATATAGGTGAGAACCTTCAGCATGTTTTTCAAAGCAATAAACTTCAACAATAAATGAAACCACAGTAGACTTCAAATAATACTCTGCTGTGCAAGGACTCAGCGGTGAATAGTGTACAGTGTTTTGTCAAGCGACCCTGGCCTCCTCCAGAGCCGTGCTACAGGAAAAGTGTGTGACCTTTACGCGCTCAGTGAAGGCAAGCGGCCCCTGGGTGCTAGGCCGGGGGGGCCCCGACGAATGCCGCCACCAAACTGCTCGGCACTTTGGCATTTTTCTTTTGTTCCGTTCACAACAGGAAATGTCCATTTGCAGGTCTGGAGCTCTAGCACAGACATGTTGCAGCCTGAATAAAAAGCAGGAATGAAAAGATGTTGTTTTTCTCCTTCTGCACATCGGAATCTGACTCTCATCTGGATTCTATCCTCTATCCTTCAACCTCATCGATTAACCCCACAGTGTGGAGCACATCTTTTGATGGGTTTAAAGGAGTCAGCTGTCAGGGGAAATTTCATGCCGAATGCCTTTTCCATTCGGGGGAAACGGGAGAATCTACCTCCTCGGGGGCACGCAGCTAGGCGCCGAGGACCATGGATCATCTCGGTTCTTTTAAAGCTCACATTATGAGTCAGGAAGCGTGCGAGGTCGCACAGCTCACTAGGCCGACACAAAGCAATGCAAAGTTCTATGTTCGACCCATCTGCAACTGGTTGATGATTATACCCTTCAAGTAGCTTTCAAGCACTCGGGGCATTGGACCTCAGGCTTTTAGCGTTGGCAGCTGTGCAGTTGTTTAATTAAGGGGGAGGGTTTGTGAGGATGTTAGCCATTTATTCAGAGGCAACAAATATGATTACCAACAGAAAGTGGGAAATGTGGGAGATGGACAGGATTAGAGTGAGTTGAGTAAGGGCAGAAATGGATCTGTGATCTAGTTACCCTCAGGGTAAGTGTGTTAGAATCTGACGAGATGGTGGAAACTGAGACTTGGCTCTGAATAGCTGATGAGACATGATAAAGACATGTCTTGCAACACTGCCAGCCTCCTGACAGTCATGCCGCTGTCAGTAACCATAAGCCTGACATATTAGGTAATACGCAGCTTTTATTTTTTGCAGAGAGTTAGATGACGAGATTAATACCATGCCACCAGGAAGCAAGTAAGAGTATTTCCAAAAACGTCAAACTTTTGCCTTAAATTACTTTCATATTCTACCCATGCCTACATAATCTCTTGGCAAATCGTAGGAGTTCTGGTCTTGCTTCGTAGTCCGAGTAATTTTGAGGATTTTGAGGATTTGGTTGAATAAACAGTGTGGAGAGCAAAAGCGGTGTTTTAGCCAAAATGCTATCTCGGAAACCCAACGTCTATCATCTGACGACTATTCAGCTCTTAATTGGTTTAGATTTAGTTGTAAACTGGTAACCTGTGAGACAATCTGGTCGCACACGTCGTCTCTCAATTCCATTTCTATATGTACAATATGGATCGAAACTTACTGACGGCTTTCTGTAAGCAGACATAACTGTCAGGAGTTTGACAATTTGAGTCAAACTCCTGACAGCATGAACAGAAATGAAAACTGCTCTTGTTTGGGATTTTTCTATTTTGCATTTTTCTATCCAAAAATCCATAAATTGGCAAAAACCTATCTTAAATTGTTGTTGTTGATTAGTTTTTCTATGATTTATTTTCCTCTAATGAAAAATTCAACTCATAAACATAACATGGAAACTCTAAGCTTTTTGACACTAATGTGTCGACACTCAGTTGTAACTCTTACTACTTGCAGAAAATCCTACCGATGCACTCTTCGTGTCTGTTGTATATTCATAGCTGAGCATTACACAGGTACATTTGGAGCCTCTGTGTAGATTGGGGCACATTTTCTAAGAGAGCCGGAAGAGCGGGAGAGACCAATGCTCAGCAAGGGACTTAAGCCAGAGTGCTGGGAGAGGAAACAGATGGCATTGGTGGAGGGAGTGGGGGCGGGTGGTGCCTGGCCAGAGGATATAACAGCAAGCCTGGACACACTCATCCTCGGTCCGCTGCCTCCCAGGGGATTAATAAGCCCATCATGGCTGCTACCCATATGGGGAGCCACAGAAGGGATGTGACACTGAAGGGGGGGTTGTTACTGTTAGCCATTCTGTCTTCTAATGTCTCACCATGACTCCGTAATGTTCGGGGATCATGTTATTGTTGCAGCTGTAACATGCCCAGTCAGCCTCATTTTGTCGAGCAATTTAGGGCGGATGAAGAGAATCTGAGAAAGGTAGGGGGGGGGCCCACTGAGAGCAATTAGACAACAACTGCAGGTGTTCATCCTTTAAGTTATGTTTACATCGGCAGAGCCAAGCTTATGATTGGCGTAGAAACTCTAACAACGGCTGAAGCGTCCTGTGCAGCTGCTGCTGCGTCAGTATCGACTTTGTCTGGAGCCGCATCGGTGTTGGTGACATTTCTTGTATTCTCACATCACCTCCGGTGCGGCCGAGGGCTCTGTCTAACCTTTGAGGCGCCAAGTGGTAGCCCACTGGAAGAGCAGCAGCCAGCTCACCTGACCTTTACGAGAGCTTTCAAAGTGTCCCCCCCCCCAGTCCCCGTCCCCTCACAACCTCCCTCTCCCTCCTGCCTGCTGGCTCCTCTAGACCCCGGTGTCTAGTGCTGACAAGCTGGATCCGCCACCATCCTCGGTCCCCCAGAGAGCCGACCGGCCTCTGCAGCCCGTCTCTTGGTATGGGCTTGCAGACAGTGAAGACAGATTGTATTACTGCAGTAAAGCCAGGGACTCCTCTCCGATGGGCTCTGCTCCAAAAGCACTGTTGGTCTGCGTGTGGGTGTACGTGTGACGAACAAAATCTTCCATGCCACCACCACCTTTAACCAGACATGAATTCAATGCATTGTCACACAATGTAAAAAAACAAGAACCGGAGATCACATTTCTTTGGTCATTATTACATGGATTTGAATGCAAATGTTGCATCCCCACAGTGCAAAAAGTGTTACATGTGCACATGTGGGTTCGGGGCTGGTTGGTCAACCAATGACCTGCTGAGGAGGAATTGTAATGAACTGTAAAATCATATCTCATTTTCATGGACTACTTCATTGCTTTAGACAATCCCTGTTAAGAAAGTAGTCAAGTATTAAAGTCTTTATAAAGAAACAGAGGTTGAATATCCTGTAAACTATTTACACTCCACTCTACATCCATAAAAACACGCTCTTAATGTTATTCAAATCACTTCCTGGGAGTTAAAAGTTTTCTCGCATAGATAGTTGCGTTCGCCGCCTTTTCCCCACTGATCAGCTCAGGGCACGCACAGAAGTGATCCACGCCTGCTTCGCTTCCCAATCTGTGTATGAATGTACAAACTGTTGTTTGTGCCGAGGCTGGGGATTATAGCGGGGCGCCTCCTCTGAAAGGTGCCTTAATCCTGCCCCCAACCTGCAGATTATAGAAGCCCCCTGCTTTTTGAAGATTTCACTCCATATCAGCTCCTTCCTGCGGCATGTAAACACATTTCGACAGTGATTAGCCCAGAAACATTGCTTAAGACCCCCCGAAAAAATAAATAAAATACAGTCTTCATGAGATATCAAAGGCATTACCGCGTTCATAAAAGCATGTGCGTGACGTTTCTCGGGGGCAGTGCGGTGGAGTGTTAATGCTGGAATATGTGCCGCTTCGTAGCCCACTAGCACATAGTCCTTTCTGACAGATGGCCTGAGGATATCTGCAATCGGAGCAGGCCCGGAGTTGTGGGATGTCCATCGTGGCCTTTTTTTTGCCTCACGCGTGGCCGCCGATACGGGAGCGCCGCAGATTAAGATGTAAAAGCAGGGAGCAGCAACACAGCGAGGGGGGAGGAGGGACCGACCTCACCTTGACAGGTTGAGGGAAGCTGCTTAAATTTAAAATTAGTTTTCTTTTTTCAACTGGTGTCTCCAGCTCCTCGGTGTGTACTCCTGTGCGCCTCCTCTCCGCGGGGCAGCGATGTGAGTGAGGAGCTGATGACGGATGGTCGGTGTGTCCTCATCTCCTGACGGAGGCCTGTTTCCCTCCCTTTGATCTCGATCACATCCTGTCTCTTTCTCACCACGTGGGGACGGACTCATGGTCACGGCGGATCAGAGACAATAGGTGTGACCTGTTCTCCTTCAATCAGTAAGCCAATCGGTCTCCCTTTCCCTGTTTGACATTCTCTCTCGGTCTTCCAGGCTCGGCTTTTCAGTCGGTCAATATCTGAGCCACATTAATCTCGTCCTCGCCTTCAGTGGCCGTTCGGTCTGAGTTTTTTTTCGTCTGCGCAAGCTGGTCCAATTTTCAATTTTCAGCTTTGCATTTTTCAGTGGAAGCCATTACTGAGAAATCCTGTCAAAACAGGGCTTTCTAGCAGGTTGACCTTGATGATTCAGTGGATGCTGTGTCCTCCGGCATCAGCTAATCACCGTGTGTCTCCTTGCAATGAAGAGAATGCTTCCTTATGTTGACAAGAAGGAAGTGGACCTGTCAGTGATTGTGAAGGGGGGGGGGGGAACTCTCCTCCAACTGAGGCCCCCAAAAATATTGGGAAAAATGATAAAACCTCCTCTAATTGCTCTCCTCTGGTGCGCCATCAGACAGCGTTCCTGTTCCGTCAGCAATCTCCGGTGCGGCCCTCCCCGGGGGACGCCCTCCATCTCCCCCCCCTCCACGCTATGAATGCAGAGAGGGAAGGAGGCGCAGTGCTCAATCCTGTCTCTCCGCTGTGAATGAACTGCACGTATGAGGGGATGAGAGAGCAGAAGGTGGGAGGAGGAGGGAGATACTGTATATTTCTGCGTCTTATCTCGGGGAGAAGGGCAGTGTGTGTGACAGGCAGCACAGAGCTCTGCCTCTGAAAAGCCTCCCCCAGTGACACTTGTTCCCTCTCAAATCTGTGTCTGGTCTATTACTATCATTGAAGCCGGTCTGAATGTAGATTTCGCCCCCCCCCACCACCCTGACATCTCTAATTGGAGCACGCAGGCAAATAATACCCTTGTTTATGCTTATAGATGATTACATCCGCACGCAGCCAGCCGTGAAATAGAAACCAGCTCTTGAGAGTTCCAATGCACAGGTTACACCCATGTTTATTACAAATGTCTCTGACCAGTGGACAGGCAAGTTGTTTTTATTTACACAGAGGAGCAACCACAGGTATTGCACATACAGTTTCTCTTGCTATCATCTTCATCAAACAACCACCATCAAATGAATTTGAGTCGCTCCTCACGCTTTCAAGAGGCACACTGTGCACAACAGTCTCCAATGGACTGATATTTGGCCCTGTGGTTTTTCTTTTTTTTCTTTCTCCATTTAGGATTGAATGAAGCCTTCGCTGTGCGCTCTGTTTTGTAAAAGCACTTCTGTCCAAATTAATTTGAAATGGAATGTCGGGGTTGCCTTGGAGACACGCGGGGATGATAGTCGCTCCTTTGTAACTCACCTGAGCTGTCACAGCAAAGGAAATTAAATAGTCATTTCACCGTGGGCCGCAGTGAAGACGGGTGAATCATAAAAGGAAATAGTTAAGATTTGTCATTGCCATTGATTTGTCAAGGCCCTGCAGTGTTTTGCAGCAGAGCACAGAGGGTTACACATAACAGAACTTCACTGGCAATTATTCAAAGGCCCTGAAAACACAAGTTCTCAATACGGCTGTATGAAGAATCCTACGTCAACCCAAAGTTCAATGTCTTTCGCTTAATTCACATTCGAGAGTTCTGTTTTTCTGTTTCTCTCCTCCGTGTTCTACTTCCTGGTGTAAAGTGGGCTTCTACTAGAGAAGGGCGATGATTTACAATTCGGGATTTAGCAACATTTGAATCAAAATCGGAGTTGGTGGGTCGAATGGTCAGTCAGTGATTTCATGTCTGTATTAATCAAGTCGATGAGTTGATTAATCCTTCGGCCTATAAAACATCTGAAAATAGTGAAAAACCTCCATCACAAGGCGATGTCATCAAATGTCCAAAACCCAAAGAGAAGGCAAAAGGAAAAGAAGAAAACCTCACACTTGACAACTTGAAATCTTAATGATCAAATATCCAATATATCAAATATTATAGCTTAAAAAGAACAATTCATCATTTATCAAAATAGTTTATTTTCATGGTTATGGAATAATCTATGAATGGACTAATTGTTGCCGCTCAATAAGTCAAATCTGATCAAACCAACCCATCACAGTCCAGACAACTCACTCACTCACTCAGAAGAATTATGTATTTTTTAACATTAAACCATGTAAACAAGTAGTAGTAGAAACCCAACATATGAACCTGGAAATGAGCATATGTCCCCTTTAATGTTATAAAGAACCTCTTAGCATTTGAAACTTTAAATGATCAAGTTTTAACCCATTTACTACAAATGTTCATAATTTTGCTAAACATGTTCTCATGCGTCCATTGGTTTCCGTCCATTTCCAGTATGAAAATCTAACAGCAGTATCTTGAAACTTGAAGGCGTAATCATTGCAGTGAACATCAAGTCTGCGTTTGTATTTGTTGAAGTTGCTATATTGTGTTTTCATACTGAAACTAAACTCGCGTAAGATCTGAAACTGTACAGAACGCATTTGAAAATGGTCAGCAGAAATGTTAAGTATACATAATTTGTAGTTAAAGAGCTAAAATCTGCAAAAACACATGGTTGTTTAGGAAGGTAAACACATTAATTTGGGCTAAACTTGTCCAATGTGCTGATCGAGGAGGTCTGCCTAATGAATCATAGCTCCTTCTAATTAGCTTATTGTAGCCTTGTTGTCTGTCATCGCTGTACTTTAGCTCACCGCTCTCTCAGGCTTTTCCGCTAAAAAAAACACTAATTAAGAGGAAAAGCAAGCTCAGCTGGTTGCATAGGAGCATCAGTCTTCTGCTTCTGCAGTAGCTAATTGACGCTCCAGATGTCGGGGTGTTGGTGCAGCCTTACCTCTGCTTGCTGAGCATCTTCCTGCCCGTGGCTGACCCCATCTCACTGTCTCACTGTTCTCCAATTAACCAGCTATCGAGTCAGCGCCACTCGCGCTCCAGATGTTGGCTTTGGCCCTAACGGTCATTGGTTAATCCTAAAAGGCATTGTGTTCGATACGACTCCAACGATGCAGCCATGAATCTTGCTCTCTGCGGGTGCTGCGCTGGAAAAGAATGTTCTCACTCTCCCTTTGATTCACTTTTTTTCTTTTCCCTCCTTCTATTAAATTGTTCCATCTTCTGAAGACTCGAAACCTCATTTTGTTTCTTTTCAGTCTTCTCTCTCATGTGTGGCCTTTGTCTCGTTTTAACACAGAGCATTCTTCTCCATTATCTTCTCTTTTCTTTATCTGGAGCAGCCCGCTGGACCGCCGTAACACAGTGTTTGGTGCTTGTTCAACTCTGTATTCATAGCCAGTAGGCGAACTGATCCCCAGCCAGCGAGGGCCTAACCTTCTTCATACTCACTTTATATCGCCCTCATTCTCCCTTTTTTTTTTTGTATTCAGCTGTCCTGACATGAAAAGTTTGGGAAAGAAAACTGCATCTGAGGCCGGTGGCTCCAGAGCCCTCGGCTGACAGCTGTGAATGCCATGACTCAGAGGACGAGCAGACAGCTCAGGCCTCTTGTGAAGGGATTCACCCAATTCACCCACTGAGCCGGCAGGGCGGCAGTGGCCATCGGGGGATCAGTGTGTGTGTGTGTGTGTGTGTGTGTGTGTGTGTGTGTGTGTGTGTGAAATGACATGAATGCCATTTCAATCATTACTGGATTGCAGGATTAAATCCATCTTCATATAAACTGATGAGAACGTTGATTTAAGCTTGATAGATCCATTGTTATGATTACAAAATAAGACTTAGAATAAGAATACTTGAATGTAGCTTGAAACGAAAATACAATTATTACAATTAACTAAAAACAATCCGCCCGCCTACTACAATGGATGCTAGATTGTTTTTGAGTTACTCTGGTGTGTTTATTCCACAAACTATAGATTTTTTTTTTTTTTTTTTTAAAAGCTTCCTCCAAAGGACATCTTCAGTCCCAGAAAATGAAAAGAGAAACTGCAGTTGTGCCGCTCTTCAGAAACGAGGCCTACATCTTCACATTCATTATTTTATTACCATAGCAACCAGTGCACAGAATGTCATTTCTAAGCACTGGAGAGACGACACAGTGGAAACAAATACAGAGAGCATAATCATGGCTATTATTGTCACTTTTAATATGAGTACAGTCACCAGATATTGTTTTACTTCTTTAATCACTCTTCTGTTGAATCAAGCTGTTTTTGGACAGGACGATGGAGATATATTTCCCTTCCTCTGTGGGCGGTGATGGTGGCCGTAGCCCGTGAAGCACTTCCTCAGCACCTTTCACAGACTGCCTGTTGATAAATGGTGCATAGTTGCCCTTGTCTAACCTAAAATCCACCATCGATTTGTCTTTCTCCTGCCCCCATTATTTTAAGCCCTGTCTGTGAAGCACTGCTGGGCTCATTGTTGTCCATTATGAGCCCTACTATGACTATAAGGACAGCACCATCTGTGGAATTAATTTATGTTGTGTACAGGGTCGATGATATGATTGTTTTCAGGGGGGCTCATACATAATGCCCGACTGCCAAAAAAAGCATAAACTAATAACACAACAGGATGATATCTACCACTGTCATGACTCTAGATTTATTTTTCATCAATGACAAACAGACATTATGCATTGAGGCTATACTAGATGTTGCTGTTAGAGCTAAAACATGCATATAATGAAGGCCTAGTTTTCTATTTTTTACTAATTATTATTCAGCTTTAATTTACTTTGGCCAGACTGAAAACATCAGCCTGGAAATCTCAACAGAATTACTGGATATTTTTGGTTCCATTTTGATGAATTTTCCTATATGCTTATGCGTGTCATTGTTTCAGATCTAAATAGAAAAACCAGGTGTGTGTGTGTGTGTGTGTGTGTGCAACGACCACTGCTGTAACGTTTGATTGAATGAATACAAACTAGAGCAGCCCCTTTTAGATGCGTTTTTTTTTTTTTTGTTACTGGACGGTCTCACTCAACGCTCTCATTTTGACCTACGCAGCTGTCTGAACCGGCTCTGTGTAGCTAAACCTCAGTTCACTGTGCAACGCTTCACGCTTCACGCTGACTGTTGAACACCACCTCTAAACACAAACGGTCAGTCCAGCTGTGTGTTGAGTTCCGTTAGCTTTTAGCTATGCGAGATTAGCCGTGAACAGACAGATGCGCACACACACACGCTTGAAGACTTAACAGCACACTAGAAAATGTAGAAATGTATGCTGGATGTTAATGAAGCTTGTAAACATGCAAGAGGGCCAACAAACCATCTAATTAGTCGGTGCAGGATCGAGCGGTACATATGGACGCACAAGGCTGTAGCTATAAATAGGAATGTGCCGTCTCCGTCAACATGTCAGATTACATTTAATGAGCTGAGATGTATTGTTGGCCATGTTCCATTCAGAATCATATGTTATACTGGAGCAGCAGATGCAGCTATTACATCTTACTAGATTGCGGGGAAATGGAGCTGTGGATTTGTCTGCTGTCAACTAGAGGCCTGGATTTAAGTGTTTCTCTTTTTGTTGTTGTGGATATGAGGTAACCCTCAGCTTTTATCCGTGCCTCAGACTTAGAATGGCTTTACCACTGCCCAACATCCAACTGGCATGTTTTCAGCCACGCCAACGTCATGGATGTATGGATGTCAGTCAGATGGTCGGTCCACGACTGCAGTCCGATTCTCTCGAGGTCAAAGAACAGTGGTTAGGAAAAGACATATGACGTCATATTTTGACCACAGTTGTTTGGACTTCCCCGCCTGAATCTAATTCCCCCATCAGCCACTCGGTCTATAAGCCGGCCACTTTGTCCCTGTCAGTTCGTCGTGGTTGCTTTGTTGGTTTCTTGCTTTGTGCTTTCCTGTTGGACCGTCGGCCTGCCTGTAAGCCATCTCATCAATAAATCAGTGAAGTCGTCCTGCTGCCTCCTCCGTCTGCGTTCGGGTCCTGTTGCCCTGCAGAAGCAGCCGTAACAGTTGGATAGATTGCCCCGGCCTTCGCTGCAGACATTTTTAAGTTCCCCTCAGGACTTTAATAACTTTGGTCCAATTCATTAGTTATTGACCAAATACTTAAAAAGCAAATAACATTCATTAGCCTCAGATGTGCTTTGTGTTTAGTGCTAATTAACAAGTATGAGCATGCTAACACACTAAACTAAGATTGTCATGTTAGCATACTGATGCTAGCATTTAGCTCTAAAGTACACACAGAGCAGCTGGCGTTGCTTTAGACTCTTAATCTTGTTGATAACGATGGATTTTTAAAGGCAGCCATTATGATAAAAGGTTAGGGTGAAAATCCAATTCTACTCGTGTTTATCATATGAACCACAATACAAATAGTTTCATTCATCAAAATGTTGAGAAGACAATTGAGCAGCAAAAGATGGCTTCATTTGTGTGTTTGACAGGCCACTTGAAAGTGAATGATCGGTTGGTAGCATTCCAAAGGAAGGAAACAAAAGCCCTCATATATTACAGGAAGTTGAAATGCTCTGGTTGCTGCTTGAACATTTTACAATGTCAATAAACTAGCAATAATTGGAGCTCATATTCACCTTTGTTCAAAGAGGATCTGTTTACATAGAAACTGCTGTGATTCCGTAGTTGTACACGATACAACATGAAACGGCTTTGAGAGTCAATAAAGCGGCTTGCAGTGTCCTTTTACATTCCAGCTGTTCAACTTTTAGATGCAGAAGTAAAAAGAAGCAAACCAATAAACACGGCTCAGTCTCTTTTTGGCTTTCACATCTGTCCTTGCGTCTCTTCTGTCTGTGTGTGAATGTGTGGGAGGCGTTATAAAGGCTATCATTGTTAATTTAATTAGCTACAAGGTGCCGCGGTATCTCCAACCATTCATGCCATGTGGTCCATTATATGTTTAAAACTGTGACCGGAGACTGAAATTCATCATTATCCAAACTATGTAATTCTTTTAATTAGCACGAGAAACGGGCTGATGGTGATCAGGTCATCATGCTGAGCTCGACGGCTCCAAACTGTAATTTTGCGCTGATAAATGATGAATGCCGTGAATCGTTTTCTTTCAATTTCCATCAATCAGTTGGAAACATTTGGGACGGAACATTTGAACTAAAACCAAACAAACTGGGTGTTAGCTGGTGGGGAACTAATAACACAATAATTTGGTTCACTCGCCTGGAGCTAAGTGACAGAGAGCCCGAGTCCCCTGTGTAATTAACCAGAGATTTGAGCTCATGACTCATCGGCCCGATTTGTGTTGTGCATAAAGCTGTGTGACAGCGGTGGAGGGCCGCCGGCTGCCGGTGATTACGATCCAGGAATGGTGCAGGCAGCAAACCTGCATTTAGAATCAGCCCTTTGGCTGCACTGAGCAAAACAATACCTCTGCAATCCCCTGACACGTTTTATTCCTGTGGGAAATGAAAAGGGGCGTTGTCTGAGACTTTGAGAGATGTTGTTGTTGTTGTTATTGTTGTTGTTGTGCTCTGATCCGTAGAAGGTGGTTGTGCTTTTTTGTTGTGCGGGAGTCTCAGAGAGAAGCCCCAGCGGTCCCGGGGTGTTTGCATTCAGGGAGTGAACGTCCGCCGGTAACTGACAGGCATCGCTTTGTATCAGGTGATCGCTGCCGCGCTCCGGAGTGCTGTGCCAATTAAAGAGCAGCGGCGCAAGGCAAAGTGGAGAAGAGGACGGCCTCATGCCTGTGCTGCAGAAGTCTGCAGATTGGCTTCGGACTGCTGCAGGCAACGACTCCATTCAGCCTTTCTCTTTGACTGGCTCCATCACCCAGACAGCAGCAGGCAGGTGGATAAGAGAAAGGTTTCATCCACATCAATGGCGCGTCTTCAAAGCGTACAGTGTGGAAACATGATTAAACAGGCGGAGTGCCGTGGAACATTGGCAGAGTTCTTCACCGCGGTTTTAAATTACCCGACTGGAATTGGACTCACAACGGTGATGGAAATGCGTTTGTGTTTGTGTTTCCTGGAATCTATGTGAACATTCCTGTCGGCGGTAAACTTCACTGCTCTCGCTGCAACCCTGGATCGCTCCTCAGTGGCCACTTTTCAGCCGCCCTGTGCCCAGAGCACTCTGGTCCCACCGCCTTTTCAGATGAGGTTTCTCTTTGAAGCTGCAATAGATGTTGTAAGTTACAGGAGCTCCAGCATCCTCGCCCCTTATATACAGAAAACTCTTGCAGAAACGTTCTTGTTCTGTCTGAGTTAGATGTCCGTTTTGATCATTGTCATACAAGTAAGTGATCGTTTCATGGAGTATTTATGAATGAATCATTTATAAAAGTTTAACCATTCGAGGATAACATTCCAGTAAGGGGGAAATATGTGAAATTAAGATAATGACTCTGGGAGACGAGTTGAATTCGTGAGAGCACGTCAGCCACAGACTGCATGCACAGAAGCACACGCTGGTGTGGTGATGAGCTCTAATCTGCTGGACGCTTGATAAATTCTATAATGGCTGGTCGGTTTGGATGGAGAGTGCATGGGGGCCGGCTAATCTCCAGATGGCTCTTTGACATTCCCAGCTTGACTCACAGACTGGGAGGGAAAGACGGCACAGTTGAGGAAATTGCTCTTATCGCTCTCCTTGAATGAAAGAAGGTGATTTTTTTTTTCTTCCTTTTTTTGCTTGAAGTCCAATGTTCAATTTCTGCTGCCCTCTAAGTCTGATGAGTCACTGCAGACGTTTGACTGGAGTATCGGGAACATCATTTCTGGTATTAACTTGCAACTCAGAAAGAAAGAAGGCAATTTATTGCCTCATTCTGAAAAAGCCATAAGACTCCAAACTGAGTTTGAACAGAGGTTTTCAACACCATACAGTATTTAGCTGCAGCTAGATTTTCCGCTCACTCTCACAAGCACACTGCGGCGGTATCAGGTAAACTGCTTTGTTGGCGAAAAGAACATTGAAGCTTATAGTAGAGGAACAAAGTCCAAAGCAGTTGATGAAACCTGAAATGCAACTTAAGATGGATCCGCTGAGTAAGCAAGGACTCGTGATAGAGGCTGAATGCATTAATACATGCAGCATGGACTTCTTTTGTCACGTATTTAAGTTTCACTTAATGAGATCTGCCCACTTTGATGTACATTGTACTGCAGGGACAGAGGGGTTATCATTCTGTAATCAATGTGACTGTGTGGCAGATTGAAAGAAGGCTAAGGTACATGATAAATATGACAATGCATCACATCAATACAACATCATAAAGACTGTGGCATCTGTTCATGAAGGTATTGAAAAACCATTCCACTGTGTTTCTTAATACCCTGGTTTACTGTAATACCATAACACTGCCTGAGCCTATAAGAGATTACAGTTTAAAAAAATAATTGCATAACAGCTACGAATCCCAGTAACGCTCCGCTACGCCGATCATTTGGGGTCTTGGCTAATTCACTGCCTTGCTAGGAATTTAATTGAAGGTTGATATCAGTTTGCTGACCTCGACCAAAAGAGGAGAAAAGCGACTCGCAGTAACTCCACAGGCCTCGAATGTATAATTATGTTTTAATTACGTAATTGTGTGTGTTCGTAGCCGGCTTGCTAATGTTAACCGCTGTTGGTAGTCCTACATTTAGGAGTCCACTGCTTTTGTTCACTGCGAGGACGGGAGAGCATTGTTGTCTGCAGACACCGGGGATACCGTAAAGCTAGCTGTTTTTTTCCCCCCACATTTTCCATAAAAAAAAGAAATCTGAATTTTTCTGAAATATATCTGGCACTTTTCACAGCAAAATGACTTTGTGCAAATTTGTTGCACCAGCAGTTTAAAATTTAAAGTACTATATTTATGAGGTCATTTCATTGAACTTTTAAGATCACGTTTCCAACATACGGACGAGATTAGGGAGATAATAAAAGAAGATTTGGAATCGATAATCCGACAGGATTCTCTCGAGTCCCGCTCAGTGTTTGCACAGAGGAAGACGTGTAGTGCGTGTGGTGTTCTGACTCAGGCACACAGGCCTGAGCCCAGCTCTCCCCTGCCAGTGACCCCACTAATCGCATCAGAAGCAGTCCTATGCTAATCCCCCCCCCCCCCCCCCCTAGAGACGCTGCACAGGGAAACACGGCTGGAGTTTTAGAAGTCTTAGCAGTGTGAATGCGGTTGTGCCACGAGCTGGCTGGAGCGGATACAAACCTGTCGAGGAGAGATTTTCTTTTTTTTAAAGTCAGTCTGATCCCAGAGGAGCGAAGCGGGACAAACTATTCAAAGCCCTGCTCCGAGGTCGATTGTGTCTACCTCCGGATTGTCAACCCACAGCTGAACTGTTTGCCAGGATGAGCCCAGCTGTCACCTTCTAGACAGCATCTCTGCCTTCCTCTGAGGTGACTCTCAGTATTCTGACTGTGAGGAAAATGGGACAGGGCCGGGTTATTTCTGTCACACTCTGTCTCTGAGGTTGCCAGCGATGTTTTCTCCACCAAAGGCCACAATTTTGCAGCCGCCTTCTCGCCCCACTCCGTATCTCTCTCGTACCACTCATTAGCATGTTGATCTCTACTTGTTCTCATCTGCTTTGCTCCCAATGGTGCATAAAGTGGCTCTTACTAGTAGCTAGTCTTTTGCAGAGCTCTGCGTTTTTTAGGGAAGAGGTGTTTGCTTTAGCTGGAATTCTGTAGCGCAGCAGCATCAACCAAGCTCCTTCTGCTTGAGCCCTCTCTTTACCCCTGGTAGAGTAGAAATCTCGTATTTCCCTCCGAGCTGCAGCAGCTCCCACTGCACCAGCAGAAAAGTAAGTGAAGCACTTTACACTCCCCGCACTCATTCTAACCCCCATGCCTATTAAAGATGAAAAGAGATATTACTTTTAAACCCTTTTAGATGTCATCCCTGCACCTATTTAACAATATATGCACAAAACAATCCTCCTTCCTTCCTGTAAAACAGAATATGAAGTGTGTTTACGTAAGGTATAGTGCCAAATTACCTTGCACAGCAGTTGGATTCCCGTCATGAGATCAGGCGAGAATCTCGTGATCACATATCACACGAAAATCCATCTTGTCAGGCTTCGAGTAATGCGTTTGTTTGTATTTCTTAATTGAAAGAAGAGCAAAAAAAGACTGAAGGCTTTTCTCAATGGAAAAGATGTTTTCGCTCTCCTCCCGACCGGCTTTGGTAAGAGTTTGATTGACAGATGGTTCGTCCAATCACCTGCAAAGTAATTTTTTTGAAAGTGCCTCTCCTTTTCCAAACCGTTACCTTTGTGTGTAACAAACCATCTGGCGGTTCAGGTTGAATACCAACCGATTCCAACCAATAATACCATGGCATCTATCCCATCAATCAACATGCAACTTTGTGTGGAACCACAGTCCCCATTTGATAGCGGCCTAATCAAGTGCAACGGATTTGATTTGAATCCGTCGTGTAACCGTACAACGCTCAAATATTCCGTTTTACTGGGGTATCGGTCACAGTGCAGAAGCTAAAGACGCTCTAACTTCTGTTCCACTGGGACTTTAATAAAGTCAGCTGTGCCTTGGCATAAATCTACCAAATCTGAGCAGCTGATGTGTGAAAATGCATGCCAATGTCTCAACTGAAGTCTGCCTCTCTTGTAGTATTTAGCATGATCTCGCTGTACCAATGCTAAACTGCACGAGCTTTGGTAAACAGCAGCGAATAATGCGTCAAACCTTTTGATCCCCCATTTAAATATTCAAACAAGGCCACTGTGCACGACTGTTCCTTCCTGCTTCTCTATTACCATTCCTCACACCGCCTCGGCTCCTTTTTGTATGCACCTTCCATCCAACTACAATTAAAAAAAGAGAAATAAATAAAAAGAGAAAAAACAAAACAAAAAAAGTTGCTTGTTTCCCAACAGCAATCCAACGTGCCTCGAATGAAGACACAGCTGACCTTGGGAGAGCTAAACACATCCTCTGGGTGCCAAAGTGCTGAAAACAAAACACAAGCTTCCAGCCGAGGGGCAGATTATTGTTTGAGGAAAGCTGTTATGGAAAGAGAGATAGGAGGCAGAGGGAGATGGGGCAACTTTAGTGAGAAAGTCTTCCTTCGACATGTGCACACAAATATATTCCGATCAGCTACATTGGCTTTGAATTTGTTTTGCTGCTGTTGTTTTTTGGGAAGTGTTCCACCCAGGATGTTTCTCCAGCTTCCTTCTGACAGTCTAGGTCAAGCCCCCTGTTACCACTACCCTGCAATCACGGTCGAGGGGCAGCCACCGCTGAGTGAGACGCAATCATCAGAGACTTTGTGCACAACACAGAGTGACCCAGCCTGCAATGAGAGAGGGGCGACGGGTTAGAGAGGGAGAGGGGAGGAGAGAGGGGAGAAGAGTGGCTACAAGGAGACCAGTCCTCTGCCTGTTCCTCTCCAGGTAGAGTGGGATCCATTTAAACAAGCCCAAGATATTCTGAGACTCAAAAAGAGATCGGAGCATGCTGTTGTCTGCGAGTTATTCCACTCTAATTGCAAAGGCAGCTCTATTAACCTATCCATAGATTTTAATTAGGCTTTAACGTAAGAGGCGGAAGATATGATAAGATGGAACAACAATTATTCCTGTGATGAAACTGGATCGTTGCAATCAACAGTAGTGGAACAGCAGTAGCTGAGAGACTTTTGTACCTTCTGTATTGATGTTTTGTCAGTGTTGGATGATGCACAGATCAATATTGGCTGAAAATGGCAATGGACCGATTTTAAGTGGCCGATGCTGATTTTTAGAGAGCAGGGCGGCCGATGACCAATATCTAATGCCGACATCATGTTTTTTATTTATTTTTTGTATCTGATGAAAAACAACAATTCAGTAAATTTAACAATTACATTTTGTTTAAACCTCTATGAATAGAAAATGAATTAACGATGGTTAGTTGAGCCACACTGAGAAGGCTGCCTGGCATCAATCTGTCACTTGCTGAACAAAATCTAATCCCCCTGCTTACAGTCAAGTGCAGATTGCAGTCATCCACCACCTACAATTATAACTTGAGAGATTTACTGCAGAAGGAAAACTCAACATACACAATCTGTTGACTCTCGTCTAGTATCTGCAGTATTTACATTAACAGGCCCATCAAGACTGAATGTACAGATGGCTGCTCATATGTTCCGGACTGAAACAGTCCTGTGTAGATTTGCCATATAAAAAATAAAAACAATCTGCACTATGTTCATATATTCAGATACAGAAAACATACTGTGTAAAGACGGAGATGCACATTCTCTACCAGCTCAGATGGAATTCATGAAGAGCTTATAGTACCAAATCGCAAAACCGCCCCTCGAACGCAGACTGGCCGATCATAGCGTAGCATTGGCCGGCTCTGACCAGGTTCCGACTGGCTCTAATCCATAGAACATCAAAATAACAATACTGATGCTGGTTAGGAAGGAGATGTACGTTTCTAAAATATTATGTTTCTATGTAAAAACCTGTTGGGCTAACATTAGCAGAGCATTTCAATGCTACTCTAGCTACTCAAGGTATACTGAATGTATACGTATGCTGCTTTTGCTTTTTAATAATCGTAACAGTGAATGAAGACTTACCCGGCTTCACAGGAACGGTGTTGTTCCTTATTTTCATTGTCTTCTGTCTGGACCTCCCGGTGGTGTGGTGGGTGACTTTTACACTTTGATCTGTAGGCTTGAGCTTCTATCTTTGTCTTTTTAACCTGTTTTCACTGCTGAATCAGACATGTCCTTCAAACACATTTTGTAGAAGAGTCTGCTTCTCTCTGAAATTGTTTTTCCAAAAAAGAGGTAATATATTTTTTCCGGTAGTGCAGTTAGTGACGGTGTGGGCTCCATAGTAGCCCTGACAGCTTGATGGAGTAGCAGCGAGGGGGTGGGGCTTAGCAATGGATCAATTGACAATGATTGTAATGACATTCATAGGTTCTGATGTGTTGATGCTAATGTTAATGTTTCATCTAGTAATCGGTTTATAGACAGAAATGCTGCATTTCATAACCGACCGTCACGTTTATATTTTTACTGCAATCAATTGGAAACAAGACAAAACTAATTTTGCAGAAAATCTGCCAAATAACATCCATCCCCTACTGTTATATTATTATTATATTATAGTAAGAATATCAGAACTTGAGCTCGTCAAGATTGGTGGCACTAATTCTGGAGCCATGTATTGCACTTTGTCATAAATATAGACACAACAAAAGTTGTGTTTTCTCAGAAAAATGTGTTGCAGCGATAGATTGTAAAGCTAAATAAATGATGTCTTTACAAACAGAAAATCATTGATCTTCTTTCTTTGGGAGCTCCTGAGGTCAACTCTTTGTGTGAATTATCTTCTAATGATTCAGGCAGTTAACTGGTAATCCACCCATTAAATATACAGATGGATTGCAGCTCACAGGAGCTGCAGATTATAGTACAAACAATGTAATTTGCACCTTTTTAATAATGTTTTCAGATACAATCCTCCATGGGAAAAAATAATAATAACAAAATCACCATAATTACACTGTGGCTCTAGTCCAGGCAATCCCCTCTCTAATGTGTCATTAGCCTAACGCAACACTAGATTCCTAATGAGACAAAGATTTTTATTTCACTGCCTGGCCATGGTGAATGTTGTCCCTAGTAATCGAGCTTTAAGTGTGCGATCCATCCACTGTATATCAGATGAGTCTGCCCGGCGTACCAGAGGCATTAACAGATCATGATGCTTGCACGGAAATTGTTGTTTGCATCCGGTCAACAAACCACGGGCCGGGGTTAAGAACAGGAGCCATCTTCTTTCACTCGATGGAGAGAAGGCATGAGCTAATGGCTCTTTCATTTCAGAGCAATCAGCTTCGCTGCTCCAAAAAATACAATATTGAATGTTCAAGTGCACATTATCTCCTTGGGATTTGAAATGCTGACACTTTGCGGCTTAACGACTTCACTTAGCATAATGACTAATTACAAGCAGTGTTTGTTGGGAAGTGACAGTCTTGTACGCCCTCGCAATCACAGCCGAAGAGGTTGGTGCCGCCATTATTACAGTAGCTCCAGATAACCTTCAGTCCCTGCAGAGGACTCGCACGCAATTAATTGTGTGCTCCGCCGCCTTATCAGCTCACTGACAAGTCTCCCTTTCTGCTCAGATTCTTTTTCTTCTTCTTCTATTTTTCACTGTGCAATTAAACGATTTAGACGTCTTAATTTGAAAGGGAACAGATTTTTCCGCGCCCCCCTCTTGGGAACAAAAGGAGTGACTGCGGAATGATGCATTAGTATAATGAGATGGCTCGATATTTACAGCACGGTTTAACACAGACGCAGCTTTTGACTCTCACATCTGGCTTTGCGGAGAATTTCATTTGAGATGGGGGGTCCGATGCCCCCCCCTGCAGATTGTTCAGATGATATCCTCGCTTCATTTAAGCTCACTGCGGCTGAATTTCAAACGAGCTTCTCGGATGCATGCGGAGAAAAACGTGTGTGATTTGAGCGACCCGGCGGCCGAGGCATGATGTCGAAGACAAATGGGATTAGCTGCGGTACTCCCCTCTGGCTGGAAGATCCAGACCTGAGCAGTCCAGCTCAAGCTTTCACAGCCACTGAACCTGGTTTAATTAAAAAAAAAACTGGATGTCAGGAAGCATTGTCTATGTTCTGACATTCCAATTAGCGGAAAACAAGGTCATTTTAATTGACGTCCATCCAACCTCATACAGAGGGCCTTCTCTGTCTACCTGAATGTCATCTTGAAGTCGGAGCTAGAATATTCTACAGACTTGTTTTGTGGCGAGCGTGTGCAGATGAGAGATGGCTGTCTTTGAATATCAAGTGCTGATTTTGTGTGTAATAGATTCAGCGATGGGGCCTCCTGCTGTCCCGCCACCTGTTCTGTCAGTCGAGAGCCGCGTCGCCCGCGCTCACATCCACGGCTCGTTTACCAGCACGCGGCATTTCAAAAACAAGCACATCCCCCTTAACCAGTCAAAGACTTCCAGAACCGGTTACGATAGAGAGAACGCGTCTCTCGCAGCACTCTCTGTGATTAGGGTGAAACGAGTCGGGATGAGATGCGACCAATAAGATCTAGAGGTCTGTCCATCCAGCCTCAGCGTCATCCCGTCTCCGCGCCTCCGTTTTTTTGTGTGACAGTGATGAAGTGCCTCGGCCGGGCTTTTTTTGGCTGCTCGGTGAAAAATGAAGCCATTAGTTGCAGAGGCAGAGGGCCGAGTGCCGAGCAGCCGAGCCTCGTGGGTACGCAAAGGCCTTCTTCTCCTCCTGCATGTTCTACAGTGGCCCTAACGGGACAATCTATCTTAATCAGTCCATGCAGCACTTGTACCAGACAACCTTTCTTTTTTGTTTTTTTTCACCGAAATGACAACCTCATCCTTTTATTAGTACATGAGACAGAAACGCAAAGGTCGAGCGAGTCAAAAACAAAGAATGCATTCAGTGTTGATGCAAAATTTCCATCAATACTTTCCACATTCCTCCCTGTCACCTGTTTTGCTGCGACAGATTTCTCCCAGTCTCTGTGTCCTTAAGCTGCTTAGTGTCCTCCACTCTGATCCTCGGTCACTCTCTCCCCCCTAACCTGCCTTTAGGCACTACTGGGGCTGTTGAGTCATGAAGATGAAGTCGCTGTCGCTGGCGATGCATGTCTACATGTACTGAAAGTGCGTGTGTGTACGGTATGTAGAGTGTTCGTGCTGCTCAGTTCAGGCAGAAACGCTGCAGCCTGTCCAGAGGTATTAACATCTCAGCTCAGTTTGCTGCTCACTCTTCATCCCAACACATGCGAGCGTGACCGCAACGCTCAACACTAACTGTTAAAAGTGGTTGCCATTTTTAGTCACCTTATATTTTGAGTCATTAAGATAGTTTGCAGTTAAACGTCAGCTTGATAATGAAAATATGTATGTTCTGCATGCTTTGCAGTATCATTGTTCATCCAGCTCAAAGATGGCGGGATGCTTTTCCTCCAAAGACATCACAAGTTTCCTTTTTGATTTTAGTTCAGGTTCATCTGGATCTTTGTCAATTTGCATATTTGTTTGTTCGACGGACTTTTCACCCCACAAACAACTTAATTTGCTTCGCCATTTCTCTCTTAAACAGATGCATTGTGTGTGTTGTCTGGTTCGGTTTATGACTATAACTGCAATATTTAAAAATGAATAATGCAGCAAATTTTAAAAATGTATTTATTTTGGGTTATCAGTGTGCAGCTCTGTGGTTACAGGGGTTCAGCAGCCATAAAGGGGCCTTCAGGGGGCCCCACGCAGTCTTCAAAGTGAAAAAAATCTTAATTTTATACAAAATTTTACTGAATGTATGCCATGTGAAGAAGAGTTATTCACTCTCAGCACCATTAACAGTGCATAGAAATCAGTAATACTTTGAAAATCCTCCCAGATGAGAGTTTCTTGGAAAGATTGGACTCTAAATTATCGACATAAAATGAAACTGCCATAATCCACCAGACTACCTAGTGCTCGTCTGACCGTTCCTCTCCATCGTCTGTGTCTCCACAGAGTTCAGTAACCATGTACGATGCGGCGAGGGTGCCGTCTCCTAAGGATGGCGCAAACGGGATGGCCCAACCCGCGGTCCCCGGAGCGGGAGCAGGAACAGCCACCGGATCAGGTGGGCCGACGCCGACCGCAGTGCTGCAAGCTAAAACCGAGGAGGGACAGCCAGGTACGGAGGAAGAGGAGGAGGAGGAAGAGGAGCCCAAAGCAGAGCCAGTCCTGCTGAAAAAGCCACACAGGGAGATTCTGGACCACGAGAGGAAGAGGAGGGTAGAGCTGAAATGTATGGAGCTCCAGGAGATGATGGAGGAGCAGGGGTAAGTGCATGAATGCCATGGGCCTCATCGTTATTTTTATAATGTAACAAATGATGATGTGTAGTGATATCTCCTAAATCTGCAGCTCCCCTCGGCTTTATGGAGCTTCAGCTCGTTTAGCTGTCTTGTATGTAAATTTAAACTCTCTCTGCTCTCATGGTGTCATTTTCAGTATCTGTTTTCAGCAGAATAGCTCTAAAAAAACAAACAAACAGTGCACTACCTGCTCAGCACCAGCAGCAGACAGACACAGTCAGCAGCCAGCTGGTGGACATAGTGGAGCATTTAGCAGCAGAAGAGTCAGCTCTGTTTTTTGGTACCAACTCCTAAGAGAGTGGATATTGGAAATAGATACATTAGTTGTTTTAGGTAAGAATTATTACGCCTTCATCTGAATTAAATTGGAGTTTAAATGATATACCGACACCAACTAAAATAAACAGAATTTTTAACATAGTAATCATAAACGTCAGTCGTTGTGCTCTCACTCCGACAGCAGTCTCAGGGTCTTTATGTAGCTTTCTGTAACGTCACCTGCTGTATAATATTCTCTCTTCTATATTGACCAGCTCCCCACTCACACCAAACCCTTTCTTCATTATCTCTGTCGCAGTACAACACTGATGTCATGGCAGCTGTATTCATAAGTTCCAATTATTGAAAGTCCTCCAACATGACTAATGCTGTTATGTTTTCGTCTGCTGATATCCAACAGCGGGACTCAGAGTGTGAAGTATGTCTTTTTAATCTTTGTGACATATTTGCGAATAGACTTGCCCACAAACGGAGCAGAACAGTTAGTCAAACGTAGCAATTTGGGGGCCATCGATTATGGTAATGATCAAATCTCATCGAGTTGAAACGAGCACTTGATCACCAGTTTGTGCAGTTAAGAGATTTTAATGAATCTGACTTGGAGCACTTGCACTGAGCCTCACAGAGAAAAAAAAATGTATTTTAAGAATATGAAAACTTTCTTGCAGGAAGCCCAATATGTTTTGAGCACAAAAATCAACCAAGCGACTAAGCACTCCGGTCGCAATGGGGATTTGATGTCAAGTGACATTAGCGCTTCCAGTGAAACAGTTGTTTGTCTTTTCTTTACAATTCGGTTATTGGGCAGCTGGTTGGAGTACGCTCTGTGTAGTCGAGCACTTGACATCGACAGCTATGTAACTGTAGGGGCGCTGAGCTCACACGCTACACCAGAACATTACATTCAAAATCTGGAACCTGCCAAAAGTCATTTTTATCCCAATTTTAGGAAGAAGAAGAAAAAGAAAAAAACAAGCCCCATGCAGAGGAGTGTAGCAAACATAAAGGGCTGTTTTTTTTTGTCAGGAAATGGTGCACAGCAGCAGTGTTTCGTTGATATGGCCATCTTTAGCAGCAAGGTATTGACATGAGATGGGATCAGGATGAATACATTGTTAGTAGTTGTGATATACAGTATGACATCTATTGTGACCAACAATGTCATCTTTTATACTCCCTTTAAAAGCGTCTCTGTGTGATGCTTGCATGATGATCATTTTGTGGTGGATGACGTGAAACAAATCTGCCACAAATTAAACCAATGTTGTCAGGTGAAAGGATGCTCTGATCCTGGAGGCAACTGTCTCTTAGAATAAGAAACGGTTCCATATTAGCTGAAGGACTCTACAGGGACCGTTTTGGCAGAGACCTGGTGCTTCCTGCTTGGCCAGCTGCCCCATTTAACATAATTGGCAATGTTCACAATCAGCAAAGCCGGTGAAGGACCACGTCCTTGTCACTGTTCTAGTGGCTCCAGTTTGCTGAAGAAGAAAGAAGAGCTGAACACAAGACTGCTATCCGCACCACAAATCTGGACCATGCAACCGCACATCTCTATATTCAAAGACTTCCAGGTTACAACCATGTATGTCAGAAGTGGACGAAGTCATAGTGACGACACACATTGGTTTGTAGACGACAGTTTCGAAGCCTCGAGTTTGCCATTTTGGCCGTCGCCATTTTCTTTTTTTGCAACCTGAAGTGACACAAGACGGTGGAGCTGAGAACAACATTTTTATGCGACCAAAAAGGTTACAGTTACTTTCATGATCTAAAAACAGTGAGAAAGGTTTAAAGTTCTATGACGAAAACACGGACAACTCCCTGAACGTAAAGGTTGTGGTACCGAACTTTCAATCACAAGATAGCCAATCCCTAAAGTGTCTGTTTTACTCTGAATGGGATAATAATTTACAAAATTAACATCATGCTGTATTGGAGGTAATAATAATGAGGTAATAAATCAAGTGAGGTGTAGGGTCATTCTCACAATCAGACTTCTTTTTGCCACCTGGATTCAAACATGAAGATACATGGAGATTCATACATCAGCGGCAGCCATTTCTGCCTTACAATCTTGTTTATGTCACAGATGCAGCATTACTCAGCCTTGATGTTGCTGCAAAAAGCCAACTCTTGAACTTCTGTAATACTGGCCTCATACTCCAAGTAGTGGTTATTAGGGAGGTTGCCATAGAGACACGGGCCAACCCAGCGTAGCCTGTTTCATTAGCATGATGTGTGTCCTCCAGCACAAAGTTTAGGAAGACCTCAGTGTGTGCTAATGCCAAGGGCCATGCAAATTGTAGTGACTGTAGTTGGCCCGAATCCACAATCTGAAGGCTTCTCTCAGGCTACTCTACACACACACACACACACACACACACACACACACACACACACACAGACATTGCTGCTTCAATAACCACATCTCCCAGGCAAACTCCAGGCTAGCTGAGTCTGTAATTAATGACGAGCTCTGTGATCCTGTGTCGGTGCGGAGAAAATTCACTTTCCCAGTAATACCTCATGACATTTTATTCACATCACATTTGTCATTTGTAGGAAGCCGGCTAATCCTTCATATATTAGGGGAGGGTGATTTAATTGAATGCAGGGCAAGCCAATTAGTGAGATTTTTTTTGCGGGGGTCAAGGCTAGATACGAGAGGTGGCCGGCTCACACTGGAATGCCAGTATGTGGGACCGGCGTTTTTCAAATGTCTTTCTGTTTTAATCATCATCTTTGAGTACAGAGATGAATTAAATATAATGCACCCTGAGAAGGTGGGGATGGATTAGACTTCTCTTCAACTAATTCTTTCACCCGTCCCTCCTTCCCCTGAGCGTGACTGTGCTTGTCAGACAGTGGGGTCTTGTGAAGACACAGGGGTAATGGTGGAGCTACGACAGATTGATAGCTGGAACGGAACCACCGGACTTCCCAAAAAGAAAAAGAAGGGGGAGAACTGCGGCCATCTGTCAAAGTCCTTGGAGTACAGGCGTAGTCGCTCCCGGTTTGAGAGCGATGTAAAAGAGCCATCTTGTGGAACAGTGTAGTGGCAGGCAGCAGCTCGGCTAATGATGACAGAACACAAGGAGACCAGACACCCGCGCTGACCAGCCCCACACACTCGTCAGATGGCGACCCCTCAGCTTGTGAGTGTTAAAGCTCTGGACGGACTCGAGTCATCTCGTTAAGCAACAACAAAAGGAGAGTCTCATCTACCAGCTTGGCTCGGCGCAGCTCCCCGCGCCTCTCCAATTTCTAATGTTCCTCTTTAAATGAGAGCGCGTGAGTGCATGTGTGCAGGATTATGGGATAGAGCGGGGGATGAAACACTGGGATAGAGAGGCAGAGCAATGCCAGGCATTAGACACAATTAAAATGGTGGCTGGGGTCTGTTTTCATTTGTTGTGGATGGAAGCCAGCAGGCTCAGACTACACATCACCCCCGAGTCCCCGTCCTGACTGAGGCCTGTGTGAAGGATTAGGCCGGGGGGCAGGTTGGGAGCCTGCCTCCTGCTCTAACCCTGACAGCATGGCAGACAACCCCCTCCTCCCTTTACACACAGCACCCCCACCAAAACTGGCCATGCCCTTCTCCAGAGATAAGACCATGATAAATAGTCTGCCATGAGTGATGGCCTCACCCCGGGAGCCAATTAGACGGGCTGAGCAATTAAAGCAGTCTGTTCATTTAGCTATCCAAGGCCTGGCAACACCCCCCGAGTCTTCTGAGTGCTCTGCCGCTGCAGGGAACATTGCCCTTTTATGTGTGTTAGATACGCTGTAGGTCCTATACATTTGATCTGTTAGAGTGGCTCTTGGAGGAGATGGTACGGTATAGAACTGAAGCACCGTCAACAACCTCCTGTCGTCCTTCCATCAGAACACACTGCATGTACTGAACATCTCAACGAATGCTCAGTGACTATAAGCAAGGTCGGCCACGATACGATACGATAACACAGCTCAAGGGCCGCTTTGCATGCAAGGGTCCCCATTCTGTCTCAGCGGTGTTTTTCCACACTGATTGAGGCATAAGGTTGGTGTATGATTTGAACTCCCGTTGTGTTGTCGCCTTTTTGCTGCTCTCTAATGAGCTCTCTCCACAGGGCCTCACTCACTCTAATCGGCAGGCTACGTGGGGCTCCCTTTAAACACATGAACCCCATACACGCATCTGTGCAACGCATGGACACACGGACACACACACAGTGTGTGTGCTAGGTCTTTTTAATGTACAACAGAAGGCTGAATAAGACAATTTTAGGCGACCAAAAACTGCACTGAAAACACACTGTGAAAGGGTTAAAGTTCTAAGACACCGTGGTAGAGACCTGTCAATCACATGGTAGCCCCGCCCTAAAGCATACCCAGTTGTATCATCTATTTTACTCTAAATGGACCTTAATTTAGTAAATGAACATCATGGTGTGTTGAAGAAGACTTGAAACCAGCACTTGATACCATCAACTCAATGTTTACTGGGGTAATAAATCAAGTGAGAAGTAGAGTCATTTTCTTATAGACTTCTATACAACTTATTATTACAACCAGAAGAGTCGTCCCCTGATGTGTGTATTAGAAAATGATGAACAATGATGCATTTCTGAATTTGTGTTTTTTACATGTACTTAATGGCACACAAGCAAATGAATGTGAAGACAAAAGAGTCCACGGTAAATTGAGACAGGAAGAAAAAGGAGTCGGGTGCTAAATTGCTGCATTTTGGCTGCTACTGCTGTGGAATTGCTTTAATAACATCTGCAGTGACACTTTCTGAATTGCAAGAGATGTGCGTAGGCTGGATCTTATTAAGAGAGCTGCTCTCAGAGCCTCTAAGGCCAGAGCAAATGACTATCTCTGCTCCGATGGAGGTTTTCCTGCAAGCCAAAGCCTGTGCCATAAGGCGATAAGCCTGTGTCCTATAAGACTGAAAATTGGAGGGAAAGCATCTCGGGGACAATGACCCATTTCATACATTGTCACCGGGGGAGGTCCCAAGCCAATATAGTAGGTTCGTGCGCGACAAAAGAGCTATAAATTCTGTTGTTAGAGAAGATGAGCAATCAGAAAGAGAGGCAGTGGCAGATTGTGGCGCTCCCACCATTGATCTGCTTATACTGTGGGGGAGGTGAAAAGGGCAGCTTTATGTAGTGAGAGAACTCTTTTGTTGCTCTTCGTTCTGTCTGGTCTTTCTAGTACCTGTTATCTAACCAGAAAATCTATGACTGTAGAGAGCATCAATTGAGAATCCTCTCCACTTCTCTTCACTGTGGATCAGTGGGTCGTTTTAATTCTTCCCCTGAAATAGCAACGTGTGGGTGTTCGGGCTTGCCTCCCCATGTTCCCAGCGCCATTCAATCTCGCTAACTACATTGGCATCACTTTGCCTCTGCGCTCTTTGCAGCGGGATTGATGGCTGCAGAGCTTCACGGGCGCACAGCAGCGCCTGGGGACGACTTGTGAGAAGAAAAAAAAAAGGTTCTTCTCGTTCAGACATCAAGTGCGGAACATCGCTGGCAGTCAGGTGGATATGTGCACACACAAACCCACGCATCAACTCGATGACCATCAGCATAAGGATGGTCTCTGGGCCACAACTATTCATTTTCCCGGGATTGGAAGTTAATGGGGGGATCTGTGGGTGCTCGGAGCTGTCTAATTACTCCAATCAAGTTCTTTAATCGTGGTGATTTGTCTTGGCTAGGGTGATCGATGTCCCCTGTCTCTCTCTCCGCTTGACTTTGCATGCTGTGGGCGGTGGGTCTAAATGGCCTTCATCTGGGCTCCGCTTGGCTAACTCTGAACATCCCACCTCACAGACACAAATGAAAACATGCAACATGTTTTTTTTGTTGTATTTTTCTTCATTTTGAATTCAGTGTTACCCGGCCTTGCTGAGAGTGACCGCTCCAATCAGCCCCTTCTGTGCACTGTGTCGCGGTACAGCAGATGGTGTGTTAGGCAGAAAACAGCTACCTTTACAGCTGCAAGAAGTGCTAATTAGATGTGCAGAGGAGTTCCAGTGTGCTCATCCTAATAGCGACTGACAAACATCCAGTATGTGGCCAATTTACACAGCTTGATTCAGAGCTCACCATGGATTTTTGCCTAACTTCACTTTAATGCTGCTCAAAAGTTTGGCGATCACGCACGAAAGACTTTTCTCAGACTTCTTTTGTTCATCGATTTTTTTATCTCTGCAGGCGACTCACCGTTCACCAGCTTCCTGCAGACACTCAGGTGCCGTGGGGGGATTCTCCGGGCTCTTACCTGCAAACCCCAGTCTCATTGTTGAAGCAGCACCACTGCTGGGCCTGCACTCTCTGGCTTCGGTTAGCGAGCTAGACGGATTAACAAACAAACCCGACTTCGCTGGGCTCCATGCCGCGAAGCTGTGCAGAAGCTCAGAATGGAGCAATTCAATGAAGAGAGAGAAGAGGAGGAAATTCGGTATGGCATGTGTCAACAGAAGCTTCAGCTCCACAAGCTCTGACCCCTCTTTTTCTTGCTTTAGCTGGAGTGCCAATAGGGATAAAGGCTGTAAAATCCTCACCATCATCAGCACAATGTGAAGGAGAAAGCCCGACAGCCGAATCGTCTGTTAGGGCAGAGCGGATTCAGCCAGTGTCCTCCCTGAGCCCTCTCACCCTCTTACCTATCGCACACCTTTCCTCGATACACAACAGACAGCTGAGAGCATCGCTCGGACTGCTGTGGAGTTGTTCAGGAAGCAGCTAACGTGCCCCGACAGCTCCTGCAATGTGCACGGAAAGCCATGAATTTAAAGTGTGTGTGTTTGCGGCCTCCATTGTGCTGTTTTGGCGGCTGCCGGGCTGAGAGATTGCCGTACAGCAGGACCTGAATGGTGCTGTCACACCAGCTTGCTTCTTGTCCGTTGGGCCATCTTCCAGCTATTTCAGTCCCTCCTTCGCACTTCTCCTAATCTCATTCTCCGCACTGCCAAAGCGTTGATAGCACCAAATTTAGAATGCACGGTATCGACTGCTATATTTAATCTGAGAACAGCAAACACTCCTCAGACTAATGCCATTTCCACGCTGAAATGAGCCCCCGGTTAATTTACGATCCAGTTTATAGAATTGGTCCTGCCATGAGCCCCAGCTGAGAGAGAATCTGTTGCCAAGTAAGAGCCCGTTTTCCAGCACTGAGTGATGGACAGCTCCCCTGCACCTTCATTGTAAGTGGGGCTGACATATCACATGCTATCACCTATTAAACAGGAAAACAAACTGCAGCAAATTGCAGCACTTCTTGTTTGCTGGGTACTCATGGATGTTGACTCTGGAAGCTGATTCTGATCAGAATCTGAATCAGCTTTATTGGCCATGTATGCGTATACGCCAACAAGGAATTTGACTCGTACGTACACAGAATATACAAATAAACAAAAAATAAGGACAACAAAGTAGAACAGAGGTCAGCATAAACATTTAACTACTATGTACAAATATAAATATAGATAGAAAAGTATATATATGAACATAAAAAACAACAACAATGACAATGAAATGGAGGTAATAGTGCAGTATGACTGATTAAGTGCTCATCAGAGTGACGGCCAGCTGCTTTATGCCGGGCACCCCTCACACATGCTTCTTGTTGCTACACCTAATACGAACAGCACAGTCTATTATAAATGGCCGAGGCTTCCAGTCAGTCTAACTCTGTGATGTCTGGCTCTTGGCTACACTTTCACAGCTTCATTAATCCCCTCCCTTCTCTCACTGCGTGTTTCTCTGCCTGTGTAGCTCATTACAGCCCATTACCACAACCAGAGCAGAATGTGGAGATGGTTTGAATGCACCAGGAGTTCGGCTCGGTGTACAGCTCACTAAAGGTGCTGAGCTGTCAGTGGCGGGCCTGTGGTAAGAGGCTACTTGTGTTATTCACAAACTGGGAGGACAGGAGCCTGAAGCTGTATGGCATGGAATATTTGGGGAGAGTTTGATTCATTCATTATCTACTGCACCAAATGATACCACAATGAAATGAAAGCATCGTTTTGATGCTTCTTTTGTTGCGCCCACTGACTGATGCAATGCATCTGAAATAAATGGAGAGAAAAAACGAGATATTCCCAATTAGAAATCTACAACGTGGCACAGACAGTAATTGCTTTCCCGCTGCAGCAGTCTGCAGTTTTCTGTCTGTCAGCTTGCTGAAAGCTCCTCACATCTGCCCCAAAGTTACTCTCAACTCAGCGCTTTGCTTACAGAATATATTACGACATGCAGTCCGGGGCCTGAGCAACGGAACCCGCCGGGGTCGTGAGAGGTTGACAGTGAGTCATCAGAATATACATCCCTTGGCTGTTTGTCCATAGATGACGGCGTTTGCCATTTGTCGGACTCGGGCATCTGGCGGTTGTGACGGATGACTGTCCGCTCGGCCAGCGCCCCCCCCCCGCTGCATTCAAAGCTGCTGTTGAAAAGCTGCCGCTTCACTTTGTTCGTCGCATGAGTATGCCTCTACTAACTGCTGTGTCTTCATGTCCATCCGCAGGTACACAGAAGAAGAGATTCGACAGAAAGTGAGCACATTCAGACAAATGCTGATGGACAAGGAGGGCGTCATCACCAGAGAGGGCTCACACACACAACCAGTGTAAGTTACCGTACATCGGTAGTAATGTTGCAGCTGATAAAACATGATCTTCTGTCTTTGAGCCCCACCTTCGAAAAAAGAAAGGAAAAAAAAAAAAGCAGAGTGGAAATCAATAGTAGGAACAGAACAGGAGGTGACAATACAATACAATTCAAGTCAGGAACACACCATATGCCACGGTTTTCTTTAGAAGTCGAAGGTTGCGCATGCAATGGGATGAGGGAGGCCCAGAGGAAAATGCAGTTTGTTTGAAGTGTCAAGCTTCGTGAGGATCATGAAGTAAAAATAACCCGCAACATCAGTCAAGCTTCATGCGGCACTGCACATAATAATCTACTCGTCCATGTTGTTGAGCTTGTAGTCTATCGGTTTACACTCCGTCACTTCTGCACCGTGGAACGTTTGGCAACTAGCTGTTCCTGTTCGCACGGTACAGACAAGAAAGAGCCAAGGAGAAGACTGAATCTAATGATTATGAGTCACAAGGAGCACTTGATTTCTAAACGGCTGTTTGGACAATTTCAGTACATCGTTGATGGACAGAATAGATACAGTAGTAAAGAATTATGCTGATTGTAGTACTGTGTGTATGACGTCGGTGTGTTTTGTTTGTTATGACTGAGATGAGAAGAAGTGGTGGTACGTAAATTGTGTCAAGCAGGTGACAGGTCATTAATCAATTACAGTAAATGAATCTAATGAAACCAAACATCCATAAACATCAAACACTGTACAAGCAGAAATTGAGGTTATGAGAAATGGCCTGCCTGATAGTGTCTTCAGGCGGTGGGTTCCAATATAATACGGTCCGTAATTACAAAGGTGCAATCCAATTTAATTTGAGTCCTGATTATGCCTCCCTGAATACACAGGGAATGGTTAAACCCCGATGCTTTGAAAATAATCAGGAGCATTTTAAAGTCTATTCTAAACTCTGCTGGAAGCCATTGACGCGAAGATTGGCACGATAATTGTCAATTTGCTTGGCGCTAAGCCTCGCTCTAGCTCTGAGCACGGTGTGGTATGGAGAGTGTCTCCAGCATAGATGGAATTAAAGGAACCAAAAAATGAATGACTGCGGGTGCGGTCTCCGTCCAGATCGCGGACAGACGCGCAGACTCACGGAGGCCACTGCTGCGGCCGTCGGAAAAACATGAGAAACAGCAGGAGCAGCAGCGGGATGTAGGCGGGGTGGCCCTCCTGAGTGAGTCCATCATGCTGTATCTGTGAGTGATGGAGAGAGGCGGTGTGGTGGCGGCGACGTGACCCGCTGTCTGTGAACTAATGACTGGTAATGACACCGATGCTTCCCGTCTCACAGACTAGACTAATGACTCTCCCTCCTCTGCACCTCAGCCGGTGTCTGACATTTAACCAGACCACGCTGAAATCAGGAGGGAGCTGCAGAGGACGGCGATGCGCCGCAGGACGAATGCAATAACCTTAATTTAATCATTTGGGGCCCAGGGAAAGTTGACGACGAAGACACAGAAAGCTTGTGTTTGTTTTTGCTTTTCGTGTTAGTTCGCTCTCAAGGGCGCTCCTCAGACTGGTCTTTGGGATTTCAGAGCTTTCCACACAAGTGCTGCAACTTTCCATCCCCAGAAAGGCCTTGATGTGGAAAATTGAAGGTTGTAATTTGCAGGGTTGTTATCCTCCCCCACTCCCCCTCATACTCAACACTCCCCCAGGCCCTACACACACACACACACACACACACACACACACACACACACTCACACACACAGGCAATTCTTTCTGAAGTAAACCACGTCCCTCTGCCCACCAATGTGACTTTATTTTTGAAGTGCCTATACTCCCCTGAAGCATTTTGGGTATCATGCCTTGATCAACCGGTGGATTGGCCTCAGGGTAAAATGGTGCTATAGGCCCCCTGATACTCACTGTCACCAGCAATACGCAGATCAACCACCCCCCGCATTAATAGGTAATATGGCAGGGGACCCTCACATAACTAGGGCCCTCAAGGGCCCAAGTGACCGTGTTAAACAGCCAACAGTATGGACGGATATGATGCTGGTGATCTCATCTCACATTAGTGGCGAGGTTGTTTCACTGCTCTCTAGGTCTCTGAAGCTCCTGGTTTGTTTCTGGGCCACAGTAATAGCGACGCTAATGGATGCCTGGCCACCACTTTGATCCAGACTGGAATGTCTTAACACGACCCGGTCTCACTCCCAACTCATCTGATACAGACGTACGGAGGTTGCTCAACAACTATTGGATGGATTGCCATTAATGATTCTACATTGTCAGTCCTTAGAAGATGAAATCGACTGCTCCACCATGAGGTTTTTAGTGAAATATCTGTCTCATTAGTTGCCATGTAATTTTGTACTGACATTCGTGGTTTCCAGAGTTTTGGGGATCCTCAGATTTTTGCCCTGAAATTGTGTGCACACATTCATGCCCCTTCAGGACGAATTGTAATAACGTTGGTGTGATCCTCTGAGTATTTTTCTCGCACCAGAGGTCAAAATCCAATTTCATTTTTACTTTGGTTTATGATACAAATACATGCGCGGGTAATGACATTCCCATCGGCCTCGGCTGCACTTTGTGTTTAGTGCTGTGGAGCACTGAAATTTGATATTTTTAAAATCTGAAAGTGTCTGTGAAATGCATGAACAAAGAACGTTTTATTCACTAAAGAAACCCCACATGACTTTACACATCTCTATTAGCTGCGTGTATCCTACTGTTTATTTTGTGACAAGGTGCAGTTAATCTCATCAACTTCAAGCCAAAAGACATATATGGAGATATAGATTCAGATAATAGACATACTGGTAGATATGTAGATTTGCTAAATGAAAGGAGGCTCCAACACAACCTCTAATATACTGCTGCCTTCAGTCGGTTTGACTCTGCTCAGCTGGGAGGTTTGATTCAGATGCCATCTTTTCCACAGAGGCCATTACTATTGACAGGCTATAGGCCCCTCGGCTGTAGCTTAATACTCTTACACACGAGCAGTAAACAGCCAGCAGGATGAGCTAGCTCATAACTCTGTTTACCGATGTCCCACATTGATTTCCTGCAGAATGGATGTGAGGAGAAGGGGCGAGAGGAGGGATGCGGCACGTAGAGCTTCTCAAAGCCGTTCAGTAACCGAGTGGGATCAATGGGGGAAGCTGACCCTGGGTCTGGCTATCGCCCGAGACCGACGTTTCTTCATTAGCAAACAGAATTGTTCAAGAAGAAAATGGATCTAGCGTTCGACTGTTGCAGCCAGAACATCAAGGTCACCCCCCCCCCCCCCCCCCCCCCCCCCCCCCCCACACCCGCCCCCACCCACACCCCCCCCCCC